GCAGACACGTTCATCAATGGACAAACATACAGGCCCAAACATAAGTGCGGGCAGCTATGTATACTTGATCTTTGCTAAAGAAGCAAGAAACACACACTGGAAAAAATAGCGCTGTTACAGTTTTTGTCAAAAAAAGATAGTTGAATATAGGAGAATGCAAATATATCCATACTTATCACCTTGTATAAAACTCAACTTAAAAAGGGTCAAAGATCTTAATATAAGAACAGATACATTGAACCAGACAGAAGAGGAATTGGGAAATACATCTGGACACACTGGTATAGGAGATGACTTTATGAACAGAACACCAATAACACACTCCCTAAGAACAACTAATAGACAGGATCACATGAGACTGAGAACCTTCAGCAAGACAAAGAATGCCATCATTCAGACAAGGCAGCATCCTAGAGAAGGGGAAATGACATTTACCGTCTCTACATTCAATAGAGGACCAATATCCAAAATATATAAAGAACTCAAAAAACTTGATAGGAAGAAAATAAATAACCCTATTTTAAGATGAGGCACATATACAAACCAAGAATTCTCAAAAGAAATACCTCTAATAGCTTTAACCACTTAAAGAACTGTTCAAAATACTTAACCATTACAAATATGAAAATCAAAATTTACATTGGTATAGTTTTTTGCATAGTGATACAAGTTCAAATTATATTTGTTATTTCTGTTTACAATATTTGTACACCTATGCAAAGTTACTCTGTCAGATTGTATACATGCATGTTTCTACCTCTGTTTAGGACATTTTGTATACTGATACAACTTTTAGGATATATTTTCATATTGCATTATATACTATTCTTACCTCTGAACAAGATACTTATACATTGTTTACATTTTGAGGTCACTGTCCCCATTTGCTGCACATTTGTTTACAGATTATTTAATATTCTGATATGAAATCTTAGTCCTTAAATTATACAAGTATTAAATATTATAGGTCAATAGTTATTCATGTTTGTTATACATATAGTCAGATTAATTAGGTTCTTTAGATACATAGAAATTGTATTCTGTCTAGATAGGTAATCTTCAACCACTGCAAGGATCTGTAGAACATGGCATTTAAATATTTAGGGTTATACTGATATGAGACACAATTGCTCCTGACAGCACCAATCTATTCCCGAGAGAATGTTGAGCACCAAAGACACTCCACTCGGAATTTGTTTTCTTCTTGGCACAATTGGCCTTTGGGCAAGGAACTGCCCATGCCTCAACCAGTGACAAAGTACATGGTATCCGGAGACTGGATAAGCAGGGCACAAGGAAAAAGACTGCCAAACCTTGTCAAGACAGGGTAAGATGGTACTGAAAATTTTCCTGCCTCAAAAAGTGGTCTGTAAGTTAGGCTAGGCCTTAGCTAAAGTTGGTTGCTTCAACATTGCAAATGAGATTTTGGGTGATTGCTCAGGTAGCCAACTGCCTCTGTCATATACAGCTGGCTTTGGAAAATGCTTGACTGCACTTCCTGCCTACTCAAGTAATATTTCTTCCTTCTCAGGCCTTCGATGGGGCTGAAGATTAGATAGTCTTAGTTACCTTCCTCTTATGATTTAGCCAAGTCAATTTCTGATGCAAGACTTGGACTCTTTAAAATAGAATGTTTAGTAAAACATTTATCATGTGTTCCTTGCTTAATATTGTTTATGTTGGTTGTAATTTTATACTTGATATCTGTTCCTATTGTATATAGTTTTGTATTGGCTTGGATTGCTCTTATTTAGACAAAAGGGTAGGTGATGGGGAATCTTTGTCAACCAATTATCTTTAAGACGTGGAACCAAGTTAGGCTGTGGCTTTCTGGAACCTGGAGAAAAACAGCACACTGCTAGGTGCCCTCTCTGTGTTGTTCCCTTTTAGCACAGCTTATCTTGGACTTCTTGTTCCTGTTTCGTGTGTTTGCCCTTTATAATAAATATAAAAATGTAATTGTTTTATCTTTTAGCTAGTCTGGTTATTTTTCGAATCGAGATAATTCAACAGTTCTGGTTCTCTGTAGGTGTTGGAGCATTAGGATAGACCCTCAGGATTAGATTTACACTCACAAAAGAGGCTGCCTGCCTCCCCATTCCCTTCCAACACTGACACAGTCAGGGTGCTACTTATGAATCAGGAAGTTAGGCCTCACCAGAAGCAGAATCTGCACTGTGTTGCACTTCCAGCCTCCAGAAGAGCAAGTGGGAAATGTCTGCTGCTACTCATCACCCAGACTACGGCTCTTTACTCCAGTCACCCAGACAGACTAGCTGCCCAGGTTCCAGACTCCCAGCAGGGAAATGAGAATTCAGCATCAACCTGTGGCTGGAACAACCAGTTTAGGCCCAGGGAGCCCCTCTCACTAGCTCTGGAAACTGTGGCAGCCTCCACTACAGAAGGGTGAACTAGGAGGCCTAGCTAACTCGGAGGCCTGAGCTGCAAGGTCCACAGAGGTGCTGGAGAGATGGCTCAGCGGTTACACGTACTTGACACTCTTCCAGAGGACCCAAGTTCAGTTCCCAGCACCCACAAAGAGAGGCTCACTACCATCTGTAATTTCAGCTGGAGAAGATCCAACACTCTCTTCTGGTATCTGAGGGCACTCACACATAAACATTAGTAAAAATAAAAAATAAAAAAAAAACTTTAAAATGGAAGAATATTATTATTAAGGTCCCAATGGCAAACCAAAATTCCATTCCATGAAGTTCACCCTGAGAAACCCACAAGTTTATTAGGCTTACTTACAGATCATAGATAAGGGATTATAGGCAAGAGCATAGCTGACCCCAAAGCTGCATGGCCACACAGATGGTGCCCCTCTCAGTTAACCATCACCAGCCAGGTGTAATTAAATGAGAACTATATACAAATGGTGGGAGCACAGTCCAGACACTCAGATGAGGGTCCAATGACCACCCCTACCTCTCTGTCTTAGTTGCTTTTCCATTGCTGTGATAAGACACCATGACCAAGGCAGCTTACAGAGGAAAGCATTTATCTGAGGCTTACAGTTTCAGAGAGTTAGAGTACATGACCATCACGGTGGGACTATGACGGCAGACAGGCTGATGCTGTGGGAGAATGCTCTAGTACACTGTAAAGGTTTGTCACTTGCATTGGTCTAATAAAATGCTGATTGGCCAGTAGTCAGGCAGGAAGTATAAGCAGGGTAAACAGACTAAGAATTCTGGGAAGAGAAAAGGCAGAGACAAAGTCATGTGGGGGCCGAAATATGCAGGTCTATATTCCACACTGTCTGGCGGCCAGAGAATCTGAGCCACTTACAAGGCACCTGCCACACAGGAGGGGATCGCCTGGCTCTTTTGAAGCAAACACTGTGCCTCCTCAACAGGTGCCAGGATATGCTAATGTCGTTCTGCTCCTTCTATTATAAATTATGAGGTCACCTGGGAAAGAGGTGTTTTCAGTCTACATGACAAAAATAGGTATAGACAAGATGTGACTTAAGTCATTCCCCACTACCTAGGAAACAGAATGCTAATGAAGTTTTGTTAACTTCCCTCTATGATATAAAAGCTGTTTGGAAAATAAATGTGGGTGACTTCAGGATCTGAATGACCACTGAAAGTCCCTCCCGATACTGTCATGTGAATAGTGTCTTCATTCCCACGCCTCTACGCTGGTGAGAAATGTTTTCTGTTGGGGGTTGGACCCTGAAAAACACAGAGGAGTAACCAGATGTACAGAGAACACAAGGAACCCATGAAAAAAATTGCACCACAAGTGGAAAGGTGAATAAGGAGCGCTCAGAAATAATTAGTAGAATTTTAAAAAGCAGAAAAGCAGGAAATAAAAATCAGGAGTAAAAATTTGTAAATAATAAATATAGATATGGGACAAGGAAGCAGCATTCAGTTATGTATGTTGATAGCTAAAGGAGCTAAAAGTGGAGCAGAAGCAAAGGCAGAGATATTTAGAGTTTGTAAATAGCATATTCCCACCCCTGCACTGGCTGAGTACCCGCAGCCTCTGGCTCAGGGAAGCCAAGGTGAGGTCGCACCGTCTCCTACAAGTGGCACTGTAGTCGTGGAGGTGCAGCTTCTATCGCTGCTGAATGGGCAGGAAGAGTGAAGGAAGTGTAGTGTTTTGCTAGCTATCGTCCGGGTTACTGCTGAGATGGTAGCAGTCCATGCACAGGCGCTGTAGCCAGCTGAGTCTAACATGCCTGCGTGGTGGAGCCAGAAAGGCAAGCAGGTCAACAGAAATGCATAGAGGCTAAATTTCCTATGCCTCTACGCTGGTGAGAAATGTTTTATGTTGGGGCTGGATCCTGACATAAGTCACCATCCAGATGTAGAGGAAGCAAGATGAGAATGCCTCACTGAGAAAAGGTACCAAGCCACGTGGCTAAACATAGCCAAAAATTATGGGTTAATTTAAGTTGTAAGAGCTAATTAACAATAAGCCTGAGCTAATCGGTCAAATAGTTTATAATTAATATAAACCTCTGTGTGTTTCTTTAGGACTGAACAACTGTAGGACCAGGTAGAACAGAAACTTCTATTTACAGGCAGGCATGTTGCTAGGGGAGCAGCTGAGAGTTCACATCTGATCCATAACCATGAGGCAGAGAGAACTAACTGGGAACAGTGTGGGCTTTTGAAACCTCAAAGCCCATCCTCAATGGCACACCTTCTTCAACAAGGCCACATCTCCTAATCCTTCCCAAACAGTTCTACTACCTGGGGACCAAGGATTCAAACATAAGAGCCTATGGAGGCCATTCTCATCCAAACCACACCCCCTCCGAGTACTGAGGGAATGCCAACAGTCCACAACGAGAGCACAAAGGACTCTCATGAGTAGGCACAGCTGATCTTACGGAAGAACAGAAAAACAGGTAGTAGCTGAATTCAGCCAGCAGATCACATTGATCAGTCTCTTCTTCAGAACTTACTAGCTTCAGGTTCCTAGAGAACTGGCTGGAAGCTCTAAACCTTGGCTGGAAAAGTCAACATCTTCCTGCCTACCTTTGATGATCTTCCTAGCAAACTCTCGGATGGACTTGAGGGAAGCCAAGTCTAGGTGCTGGGCGCGCACATGGGGATTCAAGGTCTCTCCACGAATGTCCTTCGCAGCTGCCTCACACTTCTCCATGTCACGACAGGCCAGAATGACGTTGCCTCCTGGACGCCCAGAAGAAAACATGAAAAGAAAAAGAAAATAAATGCACCCCTACATATCTATCCAACAGACATAAAAGTGTACACCCGCTAAAATCTGTATGCAAGCAGTCTTAGTAATATATTCAATGACCAAAAGACAGAAACGCAAAAATCACCAGGCTTGGTGGTATAGGCCTGAAACGGCAGTGACTCTAAAAGCTGAGGCAGGATTGTAAGTTCAAGGCCTGCCTGGGCTACAGAGTGACTTCAAGACCTATCTAGACATTTTAATAAGAACCTGTCTCAAAAAGTAAAAAAACAGGGCTGAGGATGTAATTCAGCAGTAGAGCACCTGCCTAAACTCTTCCAGTACAGGGCTGGGGGCATGGCTCAGTGGTAGAGCCCCTGCCTAGAACCCCCCAGTGAGGGGCTGGGGGTGTGGCTCAGTGGTAGAGCACCTGACTAGAATCCCCCAGTGAGGAGCTGGGGGTGCTGCTCAGTGGTAGAGCACCTGACTAGCAAACGAGAGGCTCTGAGTCCAATCTCCAACACAAACAATAGCAAACATCCATCCACTAATCAATAGATAAACCAACTGCAGTCTATCTGTGCAATGGATATTCAGTCATAAAAGGGAATGACACATTGACATATGACACAGTGAATGAACCTTGAAATTACTATACTCGATTAGTCAGACACAAAATTGATACGTAACACACTCCTTTAATCCCAGCACTTGGGAGGCAGAGTTCAAGTCCAACCCAATCTACAGATGAATTCCAGGACAGGTTCCAAAGCTACAGAGAAGCCTGTCTCAAAAAACCAATAATAATAGTAATTCATATATATATGCTTCCGCTTATATAAAATGTCCCAAAGAAGCAAATGCAGAAAAAGAGACCCAGGTTTCCTGGAGCTGTGGCGGCAGGGGAAGATCAGGGAGCCATGGGTGACGAATAAAGGGATGATGGGTATCTCAAGGATCATGTTAGAAGACGGAAACATTTTGGGGGCATATGGGAATGTGCAGTGAACTTAGTGCTGTTACTCTGAGAAATACCACCAGACGCTGTCTCCTGTCCTCCACAAGCATGTGCATGCATGTGCACACAAATATAAACTTATCAAGATATACCAATACAGGGGCTGGAAATTGGCTCAACAAGTAAAGGTACGTGCAATTAAGTCTGAGAACCAGAGTTCAATTCCCAGGAACAACATAAAGGAAGAAGAAAACCAGCTTCCATAGTTGTCCTCTGAACTACACACACACACACACACATAAACACACACACAATGGCAAAGCTCAAACCCTATCCCACGCCAACATACACATACTACATAATAAAAACAGATTTTTTTAAAGAATGTAACTACTCCAACAAGCAAACTTACACAGTAGTCTTTTCGGGGTCTGGCCTTTTTCACTTAGTGCATATCCTCTAGAATCACCGCACAGGAGCATGTCCAAATTCCTTTCCCTTTGAAAGCTTGGTAATATTCCACTGTATGGATGGACCACATTCTGACTGTCTGCAATGAGCACCTGGAATGCTTCCTTCCACCTCTGAGCTATTTTAAACAACACTGCCATGCACACCAGTGTGCACGAATCTCTTCAAATCCCGAAGCAGGTGTTGCTCTTACCTCTTTTAGCCAGTTCCAAAGCAGTTTGTTTCCCAATGCCTGTGTTGGCTCCTGTCACAATGACAGTCTTCCCAGGTATGGTGGCCTTGCTGGGACAAGCCCCACCAGCGACATAGTCCCTGGGGGTGAGAAACAGCTGAATGAATTCTCTCTGCCTCTTGCCTGGACTTACGATCTGGGGCCAACCACCCTTCTAAGTTCACATCTCCCACCAAAGCACCAAAACACACGGTGTTCTTATGGTCTCAGCAAAGACTACACTTGGGAAGTCTCTGTGAGGTGGCATTACTATGTTTTATAAAAACAAAAGATTAGGGTCAGAGGTGGTGGCATACACCTTTAATCCCAGCACTTGGGAGGCAGAGGCGAGTGGTTCTCTGAGTTCAAGGCCAGCCTGGTCTACAGGGTGAGTTCCAGGGGAGCCAGGACTACACAGAGAACAAAATAAAACAAAAAGATTGTAAACAGAAGCACAAGCCCAGCTTTGAGAGGCTGTGGCAGAAGGACCAAGTATTCAAGGTCATCCTCAACAACACAGCAAGTTCAAGACCAACCTAGGCTACATGACTCCTTGTCTCAAAATAAGTTAAATAAAATAAAGGACATGAAGTTGGAAGGAGAGTGCGTCCGAAAGGGTCCAGGGGGTTGGAGAACACGAGTGGGAATTAGCTGTGATCAAAGTACATTATACACAGCGTGGGGCTGGAGAGAAGTCTCAGCAGCTCGAGCTCTGCTGCTCTTACAAAGCCTCCAGGTTCCGTTCCCAGCACCCACGTGGTTCCAGCTCTGACACACTCTCCCTCTTATAATCTCAGAAAACGCGACGTAAACATATAGCAAGGGAAAAAAATAGCAGGCCATGCATGGTGACACGCGCCTTTGATCCCAGCACTCCGGGAGGCAGAGGCAGGTGAATTCAGTCAGCCTGGTCTACACGAGTTCTAGGACAGCCAGGGCTGCACAGTAAGACCCTGTCTCAAAAACGCAAGGAAGGAAAAAAGGGAGGAGAGGAAGAGGGAAGAGAAGGCAGACAGACAGGAAGTGCGGAGAGGAGGAAAAGTAAAGAGGAGTCCAGAGGAAAAAAAAAGTGTGCAAGGTCCGGGCCCCACCCCTTCTCCGTAGGTGACCTTGGGAAGGTGACCACCCCCCAGCTCAATCTGGAAAAGCGGTGCTGGTGGGTAAGCTGGGAGAAACCAAGAATGAGGTCTGAGGATAAAGGATCTGTCTCTGGCCTTAATCGGCAGTCCCCTGCCGCAGGTCTACCACCGTGCGCGCCCAGAGACGCGCACAGACTCACTTGAGAAGCACGGTGCCACCGATCACCGTGCCCACTACGGACACCGGCAACAGAAAGCGGTTCATTCCAGGCTGGGGAACAGAGGACCGGTAGATCTGCCCTCCGGGCTACTACAACACGTGCGAAAGAGCGTGAAGTGGAAGGACGCGGCCTCCAAAGCACGCCCTGAGGTGGGGCCAAGAGCGAGGATGGCTTCTTTGGGACGTAGGCCACGGCGCACTTAATGCTGGGAGTCGTAGTTTCAGGAGATGGGGCGGGGCCGAGGCTGACTGGAGTGCCAGCAGCCGGATCAAACGTCTTCACATTCAACCAAGCCAGGCGTCCTGAGGTGGGGTTTGTTTTGTTTTGTATTGTGTTGTGTTGTGTTTTGTTTTGTTTTAATCAGCTGGGAGCTACTCCCGGCACTCCGGAGACAGAGGCGGGCAGATCTCTGAGTTCGATGCCCTCCTGGTCAACAGAAGGAATTCCAGGATTACACAGAAAAGCACTGGGGAGGAGGGGGGGGTTGGTAGAAACCATTACCATTTATTTCCAGACAGCGAGCCCCACAGAATGAACCATGAGCTTTCCCCACTACATGATATTTAACAATAGTACTTTCTGCATAGGTCTTGTGGGGGAAGGAGGAGGGCTGGGGCCCAGACCCCTATGTCTGAAGGAAAAGAAGGCTATTGACTTTAAAATGACATACCGAGCCCAGTGGGATGGCTCATGGGGTAAAAGAGCTCGTTATACAAGCTTTGCAACTTGTGTGTTCATCCCTAGAACTCGCAGGGCGGAAAGATAAAGCCAACTCCCAAAAGCTGTCCTCTGACCTCCCACCGTGGCACGTCTGTGCTCACACACAAACACACACAAACAAAACAGAAGTAAACAGAGAAACATTTTAATATAGTGAAGCTTTGGTGTCTAGAAAGGAGGGGGGGACAAGAAAAGAAAGACAGACAGAGGGAAGAAAGGAAGTTAGGGGGAAAGCTATAGATTGTGGAGGAATGCATCCTGAGGTAGAAAATTTCCCAGTACACTTGGAATTTCATTTGTCCTCCTGAAGGTGATATTGAGATAATATTTTTCAATTATCGATTGGCAACATTGAAATTATGTTAAACATTCGGTGCTGGCAAGGATGGGCGGGGGAAACTGTCTGTTGGCAGGAGTGTCACTTTTCCGGTGTTCCTGAAAGCCTTGTCGCAGGGTCATCCAGACACTCCCCTATGTAAGAAGTCACGCTTAGGGGAGGCTTGATAGTTCCAAAAAAAGAACAACCAGGCTTTGTGCACATTTGTGAGTACTCCCTCACCACGTCTTGCAACAATTATTTAGCGCCTCTTGTGTTCCCAACACAGTTACACCTGAATTCAGTCCTTGCCCTCACAGTTCCCCAGACTGTAACAGTAAAAGGTCATTCTCCTGGGCCTGAAGGATAACCCAATGGTTAAGAGCACTTGCTGCTCTTGCAGAGGACCCAGGTTCAGTGCCCAGAGCCCAACATGGCAGCTCACAACCATCTGTCACTGCAGCTCCAAAGGATCAGACACCCTCTTCTGACCTTTACGGGCACTGCACAAAAATGGTGCATAGACATACAAACAGGCACAACACTCACTCGCATAAAATAAATTAATTAATCTTTAATTTAATAGGTGTGTTTTTAAAAGTGTCTGAGTCCCTTTATTTACAACCAATGTGAGGAGATGTCCTAATTAGGGTTATTATTGCTATGATGAAACACTGTGACCAAAAACAAGCTGGGGAGGAAAGGGTTTATTAGAATGGCTTACAGCCTGTGGGCTTGCTAGTCCAACAATGGCTGTCTACCAATGGTCAAAGAATCTAATAGCCATTCAGTCTGTGAGGCTGGCCTTCAGGATACACCAGGATCCTGAAGAAATAGGCTGCAATGCCAGTGAAGCAATGGATTTGGAAAGAGCGTGATTAGAAAATTGCATCTGGAGTAGGAGATCGCTGACCATGTGTTTTGGAGAGGATTGCAAAAGTACCTTGGCACTCTGGGCTAGAAAAGCCTTTGAGTGCTGAGACATTAGTGGTCTGTTCTGTAGGAGCTTGGAAGATAAGAACGTTGAGGTCAAGCCAGTAAGCAACCCTTCTCCCATGGCCTCTGCATCAGTTCCTGCCTTCAGGTTCCTGCCCCTGTTTGTGTCCCTGTCCTGACTTCCTTCAATGATGACCAGTGATGTGGAAGAGTAAGGCAAATGAACCCTTTCTTCCCCAAGCAAGCCCCACAGCAATAGTAACCCTAACTAAGACGGTGGGGGGAGGGGAGGCAAGCTGTGAAATAAGCCACAATGGTGGCTACTGTTGTGAAATATTTAACTATGTAAAGATGTGTAACGTTTGTTTATGCTATGGCATATTATGTTAACTGTGTAAAAGAGTGTTACATTTGCTTATGCTGCGTTTGTTTAAGAATGTAAGGATGCATGTTTAATTATGTAAAGAGGTGTTGCATTTGTTTCACCTTGCCTGCCTAAGGCATCTGATTGGTCTAATAAAGAGTTGAATGGCCAATAGTTAGGTGGAGAACGAATAGGCAGGGCTGGCAAGCAGAGAGAATGAATAGGAGGAATCTAGGCTCCGGAGAAGAATGAGAAGAGAGAAGAAGGAGAAGGCAAGAACAAGGGAGAAAGAGAAGGACACGACACCCTGGCAAGAAGCCAGGCAGCCACCAGACAGACAGACAGATAGACAGACAGACACAAGAAGCAGTGAAAGTAAGATATACAGAAGCAAAGAAAAGTAAAAGGTCCCAGGGCAAAGCATAGATGAAGAGAAACAGGTTAACTTAAGTTTTAAAAGGTAGCCAGAAACAATCATAAGCTAAAGCCAAACATCCAAAACTAATAATGTCTCCATGTCATGAATTGGGAGCTGGTTAGTGACCCAAAAGAAAAAGCCTACTACAGGCTACTTTCTTGGGTTTGCTTGTTTGTTTGTTTTGAACCGGGGCCTCCTGTAGCTCAGGCAGGTCTCTAACTCCCCGGGTAGTTGAAGATGACCCTGAGTGCAAGCGCCCTAACTTCCTCTCTACTGATAGGTCAAATTCTCACTGAGAAGGCCAGCTGGTCTCTCAACTGCCCTAGGAGTACAGCCAGTCCGCCCAGTGGCAGGAGAGAGCCACAGACAATACACAGACAAACCAGCATGGCAGTGTGGCAATAAGCTTAGTGCAGAAAACAAGCATTAGGCCCCAGCTTGCCAGCCCCTACCGTGCAATTTCAGAAAGATGTCTTTTGTGCTTACAAGAACCTGGTCCACAGTGAGTCCCGGAACGTGGCTGGCTAGGAAAGTCAAGTGGTTATTACAAAGAAAAAGATGCAAGCAAACTCCTGCTTTTGAAGGCCTCCTACCCGATTCCCAGACACACCCATGGTGGATGGAATGTCTTTGTAAACTTCGGGCTGGCTGTGCTCCCTTCGCCAAGGTTTCTGTTCTCACGAAGAAACTGACTTGCACTGGGTGCTGTCCCAGGTGCTGAGAGGATTCGCCCGCAGGGTCCCCTGATCTTCCCGGGGCAGATGCTTCAAAGCACCCAGCAAAGGTCTCTCTCAGCCCTTCCTGCCTTCCCTGGATTCCTCTCTACCTCTCTCTCCAACCCTTTCTCCCTCCATCTTTTTCTCCCTTCCTCCACCTCCAACATTTTTTTTTTTTTTTTGAAACAGAGTCTCTGGTAGCCCAGCCTGGCTCAGACTCCCCTCTCCAGCTGAGGGACGACCTTGAATTCCTGATTCTCCTAACTCCACCCCATCCAAGGTCTGGAATTACAGGTTCACACCACCTTGCTTGGGCTCCTGACTGAACATCCTAAGTGCTAGGAAAACTGATGTATTTTACAGAGCACTGGGAATCAGACCCATGGCTTTGTTCTTGCATGGTGGACAGGCACTCTACCAACTGAGCTATAGCTCCTTGCTTGAAGTTACTGAATAGTGGGGTCATTTGTTACATGGCCACAGGAAGTAAAGCAACCATTCTGTTTATCAGGACACCTTGTTGGAAAAAAAAAACTTGAACAAACTCTTCAGATCCTGACCAGGCTCCAATGTTGAAACTCCAGTTCCTCCCCCCTCATTGCTGTTACCAAACTCAAACTCCCGCTATGACCCACATCCTGATAGCTGGGGCAAGGCAGCTTCTTAAGATAAAGCGGTTATGAGTAAGACGGCTGTTTTCATGAAGGGGGTGCTGTGGGACAATGGCCTGTACCCTGTCACTTGTACTTTAAATAAACACTGATTGGCCAGTAGCCAGGCAGGAAGTATAGGTGGAGTAGCCAGGAAGGAATTAGAGGCTGGGCAACAAGAAAAAGCTAAGAGGATTCTGCAGTCTGCAGTCATCACCCAGACACAGAGGAAGCCAGACACAGAGCAAGCAAGATGTGACTGCCTTCACCAAAAAAGGTGCCAAGTCATGTGGCTAACATTTACAAGAATTATGGGCTAAAATATAAGTTATAAGAGTTAATAAGAATCCTGAGCTAATAGGCCAATCAGTTTATAATTAATGTGGGGCTCTGTGTTTCAGGCAGGACAGAAACCTCAGTCAACAGAATGGTGCCCAACATGTGGACAATTGTATCCACAGAAAACCTGAGAGAGCTTGGGAAGTAATTCTAGACACAAAATTACAGCATTAAACATGGCTTCTTGGTAGCAGCAATTTCTCGGCTTTGGTCTCTTTGCTAGAGGCAAACGCATCTCATTTAAGAGAGGCTTCCTGACTCAGTTTTAGCTGCAAAAACTTTGCAGCCCTTTTAAGAAGCTCTGCCACAAAACACTTAAATAGTATTTATGAATAGCCTACAACATGCTTCTTGGTGGTGGCACAGACCTTGAAATGCCATAAAGTTGTGGCAATAAACATGGCTCTGGCCAGTACCTCCACCATGAAGCTAGATTCTCAGAAAGCTAAGGAATGGGGTTTATCCAACTTTCAAAGCCACAGCTTTAATCCTAGCCATATCACTTAGCAAATTAAAGACTCATGTGCTCAGGAAAAGAGAGATATACAGTAAAGACAGATTCAGATGAAGAAAACCTCTAAATGGTTTACAGTGTGTTTAAAAATATGTGTAGGCTTGAAGAGAAAAGAAAAAAGGATAAAGTTTTTAAAAGAAAAAAGAGAGTAGTTGGGTGTCCCAACACTTGGGAGACAGAGGCAGGCC